CCGTTGAAATGCCGCCACAAACCGCCGTCACCGACACCAATCTAATCTCCGCTGTTCCTAGCACAACCGCCACCATCCCGGGCACGACGACGGGTACGCGAACCAGAAGAAAAAAGTATAGAGCCCCACCGCCGCCTACGACGCCAGTGGTTCCCGAGTCGGCGACGACGTCGCTCAAAAAACGTGCGCACCGCAAAGGGCCCGCGCCAAAGCCACCCGATACGGCGGTGGCGACTGCAAGTCGACAAGTGCCGAAAGCCGAAGTTCAGCGTACGCCCAAGACGATCGTTGGAGTTACCCCGCAAACGTCGCACACGAGTACTGCCGTGCGCGGAATGGCGGCAGACGAAAAAGACAGGCTCAGGCGACGGGTAGACAAAATAGAGAAACGTTTGACTGAAAAAACGCCGACCGGATACGGCCGACCCGCGTCGGCCGTGTACACCGAAATGGCAGTGACCAACATAACCGAACTGGACAGGCGTGCGGCCGAGATATGCAAGTCGCTGAGCGAGTCCACTGAAGCCGCTCGCCGACTGTCTGCGTCCTTATCGGTTGTCGTTAAAAAACCCGACGAGAGGAACCGTCCCGTTAGCGCTTTTGTGTTGCCGTCGTCCCGAGAAGTCGGGACGACTTCCGAAATCCGCCGGAATCGTGTGGAATTTTTCGAAAGGCTGAAACCACTCGGAAATAACGACGAAATTGTTTCCTCTCCGGCAGTAGTCGAAACAACTACAAACGTACCTAAAAAAGTCACTAAAACCTCATTGGGTACGCAGACTACTGGCCGTCGTCCAGTGAACAGGTCCAAGGCGGCGAGTACAACCAAACAGAACGGTAAACATGTTAGTTTGTGTGTCTAAAGCAAAACTGAAACATTGAAGATTTAGAGGACTTTGGTCGGTTATGGTTTTTCAAACAGAAAAATGTTTTTATTTCAATTGGTTTTAAGTAAAGTTTTTTTTACAGAGATTTCTTTTAGTTTCAATTTTTTTTTTTCTAAAACCATTTTGTACAATAAGGTTTATTTGCTAATATTTTAATTCAAATATAGAAATAATATTCAAATATAATAAACCATACAGTTTTAAAAATATAACGCATTCGAACGTGTTTTGTTTTGTTCATCTTAAAAAAGATGAACGTGTAAAATAATGTCTAGAATTTGGTTGTAATGATTTATTTGTAAAAAATCGTAAAATATCATTTGGGTTTCATTGCATTCGAAACACTTAGAACGGTTTCGTTAAAATTATGATTTCTCTTTCTTTTTTTTTAACAAAAGATAATAATAATTATTTGAAATATGTACACCGTTAAATAATGTTTTTAAATGTTTTTTTTTTTTAATATTTACCCTATTCTTGGAAAATAAAACGTACTGAGTTGGTATCTAACTGACTTTGAAAATGTTAGACAAATAAAATGTAAATTTCAATCTACAACATACGCACTTGTATAATGTTCCAGTGTTTCAGTAGAATTATTTTTAGATATTATTATAATTTATTTTATAATTCAGAACTGGCTGCGGAGGAAAAAAAAAGTTGTTATCAAGAACTTATTGCAATAGAAAACCAAAACGACCTCGTCACCTGTGATAGTCAATTCGAATGCGCTGTATGTCTTTGCGTTTACAAAAGCGACGGTATTATGCTACGCGATTGTTTACATGTATTTTGTAGGTAAGTAAATTTAAATTGGAACTTATTCGTCAGAACAACTTTATTTACATTTAAATATACAGAGTGATACGCCTGCCATTCGTTTTCTCTTAAAACTGCAATTATGTTAAGACAATTATTTTTAGTTCCATATATTTCTCGATTTATCAGTTATTGATTAGTTTTATACATAGTCACATAACATGATAGTATTTAATGTTAA